TGAAAATGAGGACGCCAGTCAGGGTTGCTGTTCCAGGCAGGGCAAAAGCTCTCAGCGCCCCTGTTTAAATATTTCTCATTATGTCGTTTCTGATACTTGACCGCACCGAGCGTTTTTTTTTTAAACTTAAGCTTTTTTCAAACATTCTCCCCAAATTTTCCTACTTCTAGTTCTACTTTTTCTGTGTGCAAACTATATTAATGTTATATAGCATCTTTTCATGTGCTGTATATTTTATTTTTATTTTTAATGCACCTTTTGTTAATAGAAATGGATAAAAATCTCTGAACATTACTAGAGTAAATTTATCTTTTGCACTTGATCACTCTTTCTTTAAATAAACACTCTTAGCTGATCTAGTTGTATCTACAACATAAAAAAATGTTAGAAACACACTTTATCTTTTTATTGCTATTTATTTCAATATCTTTTTTTTACTTCTCTGTATTCTTTAAACGAACAATTTCTAAACTGAAAAAAACCCAAGTTAAGACCATTTTGGATTCCACTACAACTGTTGTGAACCTGCTGCTAAAAAAAAGTACAAATGATAGATTTCTCTCTAACTTCTTTTTTACACACTTTTAAGTATTTTTTTTTTTTATTATTTTTAACTGTACACTACATAACATTTTCTATAGTTTTTTTTAATTTTTTACACTTTAAAATCTTAGTATTCATTCTTCTTCTGTCTCTATAATGGATAAATCTGCATCAGTATCTGAAATCAAATATTAACTATCTGTGGTAAAAGCTTTCATAGTAATCTAACAACTCTGTAGAGTAAGCTTTAAATAAAATAATAAATAGAATACTTTATAAATTTTTTATTTATAATTATATTATTATTCACTTTATATTTATAAATAAACAGGGATTGAGCTAGCTGATATTTATTTGATTTAAATTGTTTATTTAATTTAAATAAATTTTGATGATAAATGTAAGAGCTCAAAGTAATCAAAGCTTCAACCTTTAATTTATTTGAAATAAAATTTAAAAGTCTTCATAATATCGTAAGAAGAAACCAGAATATTGGTTTACATGTTTAATATATAAATTCAATTTAGAAGTATTCATAATATTAATAAAAGAGCAAGGATAGTTATTATCATTGTTTTTCTTTTTCTTTTAATTTATCTAGTTTTTGTTGGCTTTTTTTTTCTTTTTTTATTCTCCTCGTTTATATTTCATTTGCTTTTCTTCCTTTTTTGTTGTTGAGAACTTTTTGTTTTTTATGTGTCACTCCATCGACTATTTTGTATTTATATAAGTGACACCTAACCAATTTCTGTAAATTTACGATGAAAATTTGTAAACTTTTATTAATATGGTTAAATAAAATTTTAAAAAATTAAACATACACACAATTTAAAATAGTAGCAACGTATCTTTAATCTTCTTTAAAGAGAGATTACTAAGGTTTATCGGTCAAATGTTGAAACCAAATTTTGTTCTATTTGCGGTAATCCCACACAATAATTAATATGAATTCGTTACATAATACAAATTAAGGTTTTAAAAACTTTTAATTTGTTTTAAATTATAAGGTTTTTATTCTGCATAGAAATGCTGCTTCAGTTCATCTAAAGTCACACTTGGAAGCTTTCAAAGTGTATGAGGACCTTCCCTAATTTTATTATTTTTTTCAAAACATTTTTACTTATTTATTATTATCCCCTCCATAACAAGACACTTGGGAGTTTTTGCCGAAGCCAAAGATTCGGCAAAAAATTGACCTGGCTTCGGCCGAACCGAAGCTTCGGCACGCCGAAGCCGAAGCTTTGGTACATCCCTATTCTTTATAGCTCTGTTTCTTTACGATTTGTATAAAATGTAAAACATTATTACGATAACATAAAAAATTTATGAATTAAATTCCTGGCAAACGCGTTATAAACTACGTATCAAAAATATGCTCAAAGCAGACAAAACTTTTTTATATTTTTATATAACCCAAACTAAAACGCTTAGCAACATAAATTTAAAAAATATTTAAAAACCTAAATTATTCTTTGCTAGTCAAAACAAAATCGCTGTTTAAATAATTAACATGGGTTTTTGTTTATCAATGTTATTATTTTTTGTTTACTCCAGAAAGTTTTAAAAATAAAAAAATCATTATTTTTAATTCAATAAGGATTTATAAACAATAATTATTCAAAAACAAATTTCAGAAATAATTTATATATATATATATATATATATATATATATATATATATATATATATATATATATATATATATATATATATATATATTATTTTACTAAATAATATTGAACTAAAATTAATATTAAAATAATAATTGAAAACATAACAAACTTTTTGTAATAAATTTATATTTAAAATGTTTATAGCTATTTAAGTTAATTGTTAAATTGAACTAGTTAGCGGTTATTTATTTATTGCGGTAGTTAAAATACTTAACGTCTATAAAAAAAAAATAAAGATAATTTTATGACGTCAATATCGCGTTAAGCTAATGCATTAAGCACATTTTTATTTAAAACAAGGCCTGCTAACTCAAATAGTCAACTTTCCAACTCGCTTTCCAGACAACCCGAATCATTTACCTTCTCTACTCGACTTGTGTCTTGTTTCTGATCCTAGTCAGTGCTCAGTTTGGTTACATTCACCCTTAGGTGCCTCTGATCACAGTTTGATCTCTCTAAAACTATTATCTCATTCTTCTTTATCATCAGACTCCCCCTATCATCGCACACCTTACAACTACCTTAAAGGGACTACAAAGTCCCGAGAGATGTTGTGTTCATATTAAAGAGAATGTTAAAAAGAAACGTCTAAGCAAATTTTTTTTGATTAAAAATAATTAATAAATGTATGCCAAGAAAAATAAATCTTGTTATTTTAGCCGAAGCTCGTCTTCTCCATTTTCTGCAGTATTTTGAGTATGTAAAGAAAATGCGATTTTCCAGGCGCATTATACAGACTTGATAATTTATTCAAGTGCGTTTAATTCATAGAAGTTTTAGTACATGGCGTCATTGGAAACATTCTAGAAATTCTTTAAAAATTTTACTATGAATTTTTACTAAAATAACTAGTTAGTTATTTTATTTTTTAAAATCTTCACATTGAAAAAAACATATATTTTTGTAGCTATCAGATCCGTGGCTACATGGGCCACGGCGAGGGTGGACCTAGGGACCCCTATGGCGCCAAATCGAGTTATATATCTCCGATGATTCACAAGTGTGTTCTTTACATTTTGATGCAAGTTGTTTCGACAAACTAACAAACATTTAATTAAACAATTAATTAAATTAATTAAAATCTAATGAACAATTAATTAAACCAAGCACTAGGAAAAGATATAAAAAATAAGAATATACTAATAAAATATATAATTTGTAATTAACTTTCAAAATTTTGACAAATAAAAAATATATATTTTTGTAAACAAATGATAATAGTTTAAAAGATTTACGGCTTTGCAGATGTGGCTCCGAGAATGAGCCATAATATTAAAGTAATAGTTCATTTGATAATAATTTCTTAAAAAAATTTATGCTAGATATCTCAAAACGCAACAAATCGTAAATAATACAATTCCTAAAACATTTCAACAGAATACTCTAGAACTTTATTTCGCTTAGTCAGCGTATTTTTTGAACCAATAGAATTGGTTTGTTCGTAAATTTGGCGGGTTTTTAGTGTTCGCGAATATTCTTTTTATTCTTCCGCAAGAACATTCAAGTTAATTATGTTTCCATGTATGTCCGTAAAATAAAAATTAATATATATTAATTTTTTAATTTTTATGCCCCCGCCATAATATATATTGGATGTTATAATAATGGAAATATAAATAATGAAATAAGATCACCGTAATACCAAAAAATACATTTTTGAAAATCAGAGAAAAAATGCTTCATAGCAATCGTAGTATAAAATGCAATCATAGTATAAAAGTCACTCTTCTGTAACCTTCATCATATCCTGTGATTTAAGGGGTTCCTCAAGGTTTGATCGTTGGCCCTATACTTTTTTTATTTTACATTAACGATCCTCCAGACATTCTCACATCTAAGGTGGCATTGTTCACTGATGATACTACCATTTATTTTTGTCACGATAATAAGCCAACTCCCTCTGATTGCTTGCAGGCGGCATTTGAGCTTGAAAAGGATCTCACTTCTGCTACAGCATGGGGTTCACAGTGGCTGGTGAACTTTAATTCAGATAAAACTCAATTTTTTTCAGCCAATCATTATCGCAATAATTTAGACCTTCCTATATTTATGAACGGTAATGTACTTGATGAGTCATCTACCTTTCATCTTCTAAGATTAACTCTTCTGATCTTTCTTGGAAACCTTATATCAAATCCGTTGCAAAATTAGCATCTCTTTATCAAGCTTGACACTTTCTTACTCTGGATTCTATTCTCTATCTCTACAAATCTCAAATCCGACCTTGTATGGAATACTGTTACCATATCTGGGGCAGATCTTCTAATGAAGTCCTTTCTCTTTTAGACAAGGTGCAAAAATGCATTGTAAAATTAGCTTGATCTGCTCTTGCAGCCAACATCTAACCATAATCACATCGTCATAATGTTGCTTTTCTTTCTCTTTTCTACAATTACTATAATAGACACTGCTCTAAAGAGCTAGCCTCTCTTGTCCCATCTACTCAAATTAATTCTTGTGTTACTTTGTCATTCAATCAAGTCTCATCCTTTTTCTGTTACTGTTCGAAAGTGCTCCAAAAACTCTTATTCATCTTGTTTTTTCCCTCAAACATCAGTTCTTTGGAATTCGCTTCCTTTATCTTGCTTTCCTGATTCATATAATTTGCAATCTTTTAAGTTCTCTTCCAGTAACTTCCAACACTAATTAGTGGTTGCTTGCAGCCTTGTTAGAAGCAAAGATGTTTAAAAAAAAAAAAATTTGATTTGAACATTTTTATTGATTATTGGTAGATGTTTTTTATTAATGTTATCAAAAATAAATAAAAAAGATAAAATCTAAAACCTTGTTGAAGAATAATTAGAAGGTATATATTCGCCTTTTCCAAGTACTTTTATATCTGTTATAGCTTTTTCAACTGATGTTCTTAAATCTCGTTTATAACAAAGTATGTGCTTTCGAAGACCTTTTTCTCCTAAAAAAAAAATCAAAAATAAATAAATATGTTAAATTAAACTAAGAAATACATCAGGGTTGCAATATCAGGTGGGATATGATTAAAAATTATTAAATTATTTGTACTCCCTATTACATATTAAACACTCTCTTAAATTCCTTTTATTAATAGATAATAATAAATTTAGATTATAATTAAAAAATTAAGAGTATTTGACCAATATGCATTGATCCTACTAATACGCTATTGAATCCTATGAAAAAAGTTAATAGAGATGAAATATCTTGATCAATTTTATTTTCTCATTAAAAGCCAAAATATATTATATGAAAATTGTAAAAAATAATGAAATAATTTATTTTTTAACAAAGTTTTTTTTGAAAAAAACAATACTTTTTCAAATATCTACTTAATCTAAATGGCTGATTTTAATAATCTAATCTGATGCAAATAGGCTAAATTTAACAAATCATGTTATTATAATAAAATAAATTTAATAAATCACAAAGTAATTGTAATAAAATAAATTAAACAAATCACGTTATTATAATAAAATAAATTTAACAAATCACATAATTATGATAAAATAAATTTAATAAATCACAAAGTATAATAAAATTAATTTAATAAATCACATTATTATAATAAAATAAATTTAACAAACCACTTAATTGCAATAAAATAAATTTAATAAATCGCAAAGTAATTAAAATAAAATTAATTTAATAAATCAGAGTCAGAATAATTATAATAAAACAAATTTGGATCAAGTTAAGCAAAAAGGCTTATAAGTTTAAAAGTTAATAATAAAAGTTAATAATAAAAGGCTTTAAAAGTTAATAATAAAAGTTAATAATAAAAGTTAATAACAAATAGCTTATAAGCTTAAAAGTTAATAAACAAAAAACAAAAAAACAATGGAATTAGATGACGATTCTAATTTCTTTTAAAAAGCAAAATAATTTTTTTTAAAAAAATTAAAATCTACAGGAGTATTTTTCAGCTTAAATTATTCAATTATATTTTAATGGTCATTAAACCCTCTTTTAATTCTAGAAGTCCAAAACAAAAATGAATAAACAGCAGTTGTGCTGAGAAACAAGTTAAGCGCAGTTCTTTCAGGAGGTGGATTTAAACTTTTTACCTACAGCTTCTGAAGAAAGCTCTCTACCACAAGGTTACAATTGCACTAGTGTATTAAAACTTTCTAATTTGATTAATTCTTAGTTTAAAATTTTTAGATAATTAGCATTTATAATAAATTACTTGTGTCTTTGGTAAGATAGCACCCTGCATAATCATCTGGAACATCCTTGTCCTCAGGTATAACTAAAATATCAGTCACTACATATTGATCATTTAAGTAACGTTTATAAGCTATGAAACGTTTTGCTTTGTTGCGCCAACTACTATCAAAAAGATTTGCTTCTTGTTTTTGATAAGTAGAATCAATCTAAAAAATTAAATATTTTATAGTTATTTAGTAAAATAATTTTTAAGTTTTTAAGTTTGTTTTTTTTAAAAAGTTCAAACTTTATACTAATTTTTAGCAAATTTCTAAATGCTATTATTATAAAAAAAAAACATTAAAAAATAAAAATGAAAATAACCCTTTAAATAAAGCTGTTGCAACTTGCTTCAGCTACAACATTTTAAAACATGATTATTTTGAAATATTCTCTTTGTTTTAAAAATGGCCAACTAAGACAAATTTTTTTTTAAATACAATATTAAACCACAAGTACTACAAGTAACTTGTTTTGTGCAATCACCAGAATTTACTAACTTTAATCTGATTTAAATAAATAAAGATTTTTTTTGGCATTACCCATTGAAAATAATTTAATGGAATATATTCTAATAATTGCAAAAAATCTGTGATGAAACAAAAACAAAAATTAGGCTTTAATCTAATCAGTCAATATTAAAATACTTTGAGCTGGCTCCATGTGTGTGTTTAGTTTTGTTTAGTTTTATTATTATTTTAAAAAAATGTTTGATTTTATAACTTTTTAGGCAAGGCTTGAAATATACATTATTATAATAACATTAACAACAATAATAATAGTTATTAATATTATACTATTAATATTAATAAATATTATATTTAATAATAACATTAACAACAATAATAACAATAATAATATTATATTAATAATAACAATAATAATAATAATAATAATAATAATAATAATGATAAGTTGCTGCGAAAGAAGGTTAAAATAAAGATTTACTAGATAAAAGTTTGAAATCTAAAAGTAAATAGATATTGAATTCTTGCTTGAAAAAGGTAGCAACCTTTAAGCTCTGTGTCAATAGGCAATTGGCTATAGCATTATTTCGGTGACTACTAAAGATGCTAGTTGTGGCAGTTTATCGCTCTAGTTTTTAGATTTAAGTGACTAGAGTTGATTGCAGTTTTGGGAGTAAACTCCATCACTTGACTACTCTGTTAGGGAAAAGTCTAATAAAAATGGCATGCATGTTGTGGTTGAGGTCAGAGACTTTAAAAAACTCTTTGAAGAGACATTGAGAGTGTCCATAATTTATTTGGAAAGATGGAGGATCAAGTTTTGGGTTCATATTCCTAGTTATTAAAAAAATATATAGTTATAGATGAAATCAATTTTAGTATTAATTTAGAAATGTGAGCAACTTAAAAGTAAATAAATCTAATATTAACAAGTATTTTATTTTTAAATCAACATAAATAAACTGCTTTAAACAAACCAATTTTTTTATTACAAAGAAATGTGTCATTAAAAATAAGCTGGAAATTCTTTCTGCATTAATTTAAAGATTTCAAGGTAAAAAGATGAAGGTTTTTTTTTTCTAACTTAAAAACAACAATATGTGAAAGTTTTTTTTTTGTTAACTGTATATCTAAACCTTAGTAAATTGCAACATTTAAAATCATGTTTTTTTTATAAATGTTATATTTAAACAAGTGTATCTAAATATATGGCATTTATATTAAAAAACCCGTTTTTACAGGACCCAAATATGTCTAAAAATTTATAAAATTAAAAAATGAAATATTTACATTTCATTATATATAAAAATACATGAGAAAAATGTTTTTTTTTAAAACCTAATTCACTTCAACAAGGCTGTAAGCCTTGTTGGGAGTGAATTATTCTCATCATTAAGTTAAGTTATTACTCCCACTATTAACCTGACACCGCATACATTTTTTTCAAGACTTTTTAGATTTTATATTAATTTATCAGATTGCATATCTCATGAACAAAGAACCATTTATGTGCTTTAAATTCCTGGTTTTATTAGTATATTTTCTTAGAAAAAATAAACATACGCACATTTATTTAAATTTAAACAATGAAAATAAGTCAAACTCTGTTTGTTTCTTTAAATATACAATATGCGGTGTTGGGTTAAATTAACCCCATTATTAAGTTGGGAGTTACTAGAAAACAAAGAGTATAGTTAAAGAGCAAAAAAACGGTTGATTGTAGGCTTGAAAAAGTGTAGATTGAATGAGTCAGAAAAACATGAAGACGGGAGAGAGTTTCATAGGATTGAAGTGCAGGAAAAAAACTAGATGAATAAAAGTTTTTAGAGAATGCAGGGATAGATACAGTAAAAGGCTGCAACTTTGCTGAATGACAAGACAAGCGAGAATAAGTTTTTGTTGATGGAACTAGAGATGATATCTCCTTTGAGCAATTATCATGATAGTATTTGTAGAAAAGAGAAAGAGATACAATGGAAGCAATCTTAGAAGATACTAACTTTGCAATTACCTCAGTTGAGAGGGTTGTAACCACAGAGTTGAGAGGGTTGTAACCACAGAGTTGAGAGGGTTGTAACCACAATTACACTAGCCTCCTTGACTGTAGTGGTCTTCTTGGCCTTGGAGAGGTGAATTAACATAAAAAAAAAAAACAATTGAAAAGAGATGAGTACTTGTCAAGACAGGAGTATATTGAGTTGTCAACAAAAAGAGCCACTTTAGATGTAAGATAATCAGGAAGATCTTTAATGTAGATAAGAAATAATACAGGACCAAGGATAGAACCTTGAGGTTAGTATATAAGTTAATGGAAATAACGAAAAGTGTTGGCACACAAGGATGACAAGAGTGAAATATTTTAAACAAACATTTGTTTTTAAAATTCATTAATTATAACCAACAAAATTTATGCTTAATAACAAATAATATGTAAAAAATATGTTTAATAATAAAATAGAATACTTATAACAAAGAGTACTTACAACTATAATTTCAGGATCTGCATCCTTTCCTGTTAACAAGAATACATCTGTTACAAATTCTGCCATTAATTTTATAAAATTTACTTAAACTATTTATATATTTATAACTTAAAGAAAATATTTTTAAAAAAATTTTATTTTTAAATTATTAAAACCAAATAAAAAACTTCAATTAAATAATGTTTACAAATTAAATTTTTTATACATTTTTAATATAATCACAATACATGAGTAAATAACATAATTATTATAAAAACTATAATTAACACATAATTTTTACAAAACTAGCACCTACATATAATAAAATATAATTGAAACAAATATCTCAGTTAAAAAATATTCATTTTACTAGCATGCAAATAAACAAAAAAAAACTTTGTACTTAAAAAAAATTGTGCGTTTTAAACTTTAAAAATAATATTTCTTTTAAAAAATGAACAAAAAGTAATTTTAAAATGTAAAAAAAAAAAATTGTGTTATAAATATTACTAAAAGAATTTTTAAAATGGTTTATTTATTTAGAATAGAGATAAAAAATTTAACAAGTAACACTAATTAAATGATGTTAAAATCTTTATGTAGTACCATTCTCTAAAGTATAAAATTAAGGAAAAAGAGATAGTCATTTCAAAAGTTGTTTAATTGCCTCCGTTTCTGCAACTTGCAATGCTGTTTCGCCACTTGGTGACTTTATATTTTTATCAGCACCCTAAATCAGATAAAAAATAAATGTGGCGGAGAAAAAATAAAACAAATAAACTTGTACTTTACTATAAAGTTTTTTATCTTTATAAAAGTAAACCAAATTAATAAAAACCTCATATCAAAATAAAACTGACTTTTCTATCTTTCTTAGCAGTATAGTATGTTTTGAAACATGTTTTCGAATAAAACTGACATTTCAATTATCTCTTAGCAGTATAATATGTAGAAACTTAAAATAAAACTTACATTTATATTACCTCTTAGCAGTTCCCTTGCTATTATTTACATTTTATTATAAAAATTGACAATTATTGCCAATCAAACTGCTAACATTACCCCCCATAAATAGCTAATCATTAATTTATGATTTCAAATAAATTTTGAAAATATTCAAGTTATTAAACAATAAAAATGATTTTAAAAATACCTTATCTAAAAGAAGTTTTACACATGATGTGTGTCCTTCATACACTGCATTTAACAATGGTGAATTTCCATGCTTATCAACAACCTAAATGTTTATTGTAAACTAAGTAAAAAAAAATGTAACTAAAAAATGAGAAAAATAAAAATGTGTTTTAATTACCGTAAACCAGGGTTAATTGAGTACCAGGGAGTTAAAAGAGTACAAAAATGGAAAAAGTTTAGAAATGTTATTTTTTGTATTGTTGTTTAGATTTAATAGATTTTTTCAGCATTATTTGTACAACCAAGACCTATCTGAAACTGCAATTGGTTTTTAAAAACATGTAACCAGTAAGTGATAAATGTACTTTTAATATGCATGTTGAAATGCGTCAAAAAAAAAATGTCTTTAAATTCTTCTCTGTGGAGAAAATTTGGATGTATTAATCCAAATTTTAACATTAGTTATGGATAACATACTGATATGTTATTTATAATTCAATTTCAACTGAATTATGTAATTATTTTTTTAGAATTTTTTTCCAAAAATGTATTTGACCTAAGACTTTGGGGCTAATTGAGGTCATTTACAAAAACTCTTGGAAAACAGGTCAAAGAAATATTTCTTTAAAGGGATCCCCAAGTGCCGAGGCAAGTTGTGTTCATATCACAGATAAACATTAGAAAATAAGTTAAAAGTTAAATAAACTTTCCAAAATAAATCATTGAATGAGATATTAACAAAAAACTTTTTAATTTTTAACGCCATTTTGTTTCTGACAAAGAAAAGTTCTGGCTCTTTGACAATTTTTATTTTTTAAATCAGGTCTGATTAATGCGCTTATATTTGACGTCAATACAAAAAGTTTCTTTCAAAAAACTTTGTTTGAATTGCAGGGGTTTCCCCTTTGGCGTTTTACAAAAATATAAGATTCAATTTTATCAATTTTATATATATCTGAAAAATATATATTAGGTTTTAAAAACGATTTCTTGAATTAGAAATATAAATTATTATAAAAATAAGTTAAAATTATATATAAGATCATTTTTAAAACAGTTTCCTCAATTTATTAAAAAAATAAAGATTTTTAAATCTAACAAAATTTAACCATGTTGGATTATATTGTATTTAGTGATGTATATAAAAAAATTGATTACTTATTTTATAAGAAAAATATTCATCTTGTGTATTTGAAAGTTTGCTTCGCCTAACTACTATTTTTATTACGCTAGTTTATTTAACTCAAACACTTTATGATACGTTGAATAAAAAACAAAAACATGCTACAGCAAACATTTTTTACCGCAGACTAAATATGAATGGGAAAACTCAATCTGATTGCATAAATCTGAACTGAGTTTAAAAAACTCTGTGGTGAGCAAAAAAATTTATTATTGAAACCAGATGTTTTTTTAAAGGAAAGAACTATGCAGACTTGAGAGCCTTAAATTAGACTCTGAACAAGAAGTATAATGGAAAAATAACAAATGCTTTTGTTATTATCTTGTTCAATAATTTGTTTTGGAAGGTTTAATTAACTTTTAACTTATTTTATGTTTATCTATGATATGAACACAACTCAGCACTTTGGGATTCCTTTAATCACAACACAAATTTAGTGCCAAATTGACAACTATAATTTAACATATTTTTTTACAGGTTTAAAATGAAAACATTTAAATTTATTGAACAATCAGATTTTGGTTGCATTGACTTTATAGATCGCAACTGTTTTCAAATTTACTGCTAGTTGATGGTATATCTTAAATATTGTTTGAATGTACAAAAGGAAAGTTGGTGCCAGAATATTTAATGATTTCAGCAGTGACAAAACTTGCATTTGCTGCAGTAAAATCTGGTGAAATCAACAGTTTCTATGAGAACTTGGAAAAAGAAATAGAAGGAGCGCCACCTCAAAACTTATGGAACTTTGACAAGACTAACCTCACTGACAATCCTGGCAACAAACAAGTTATTATGAAGAAAGGTGTAAGGTATCCTGAAAGAATTATGAATAACAGTAAATAAGCCATTTCCATAATGCTGCAGGCGTCTTGCTTCCTCCATATGTCGCTTATATAGCAGAGGGTCTTTGGCCTACCAGGACAGAAGGTGGGCCTGAAGGTGCCTGTTACAATAGGACAAAAAGTGATTGATTTGAAAGTTTAACTTTCGAGGACTAGTTTCTGAGTACCCTACTGCCAAAATTAAAAAGACTGGAAGGGAGAAAGGTGGTAATTAGCGATAACTTAGCAAGTCATATCAATATGAATATTCTCAAAACTTGTGAAGATAAAAATATTGCTTTTGTGGCACTGCCACCGAATTCAACATATCTAACTCAACCACGTAACGTTGCATATTTCTGACAGATGAAAATTCCCCAGAGACAAATATTGACCAAATGGAAGCAGGGATTCAGAAAGTGTGCCATAACTCTCAACAAAGAATCTTTTTCAGTTTTGTTGAAATAATTGGATGATAATTTTAAGAAAAATGGCAGAGGAAACCTAAAGTCTGGTTTTGATAAATGTGGTATATATCATTGAACCGAGAGTCTTACAGAAACTCCCAAACAGTGTGCAACAACCAACTTTGTCACTAAATTGACTCCATCAATATGTTAGTAATTTTTTCATTGAATTCTTAACTCAAACTAGATTGAATGATACACCTTCAATCCGAAAAGTTAAACATAAGTTGATTATACCAGCTGGTACGAGTATATCCGCAGCCAACATCGAACAGGATATAGGAGATGCTGCTACTAGTAAAAAAGCAGGACAAACCAGAAAACAAAAGCAAAGTTGAACAAAAATGCAAAGAAATACTACTAACACAGGCTCAAAACAAAGGAAAAAAAACAACTTCCAGCAGAATCAGATATAGAATCAGACAGAATCGAGTCTAGCAACAGCGATGTCTTTCAAAGTGAAAAAATGTAATTTGTTAAGAAGAGTTTTTTTATTTGCTAGTAGTCAATTCATGACATATATGTATAGTATTATACTTAAGTATTTGTCAGTAATGTCCTTTTGTAACATCTATAGTAGGTAGTTTCATCTAGATCTCAGTTTTTTAAAGTTTGTAAAAACAGACAATACAGGTAACAATTTTTTAATTTTATTTTGCTAGTCAATTCAAGTTTCAAGCAAAATATATATATATATATATATATATATATATATATATATATATATATATATATATATATATATATATATATATATATATATATATATATATATATATATATATATATATATAAATTAGTAGAAAATCACTTAGCAAAATTTTTTCTCATTTTGAAAAAATGAGTAAAAATTTTGCTAAGTGATTTTCTACTAATTTGTAATTGCTCTGTTCTTTTAAGAACATTGAGCACTCTTTTTGTAGAATACATTTTAAATTGTTTACATATATATATATATATATATATATATATATATATATATATATATATATATATATATATATATATATATATATATATATATATATATATATATATATATATATATATATATATATATATATATAATTTTAACAAAAATTACAAAAAATAATAGATAAAAATATAAATGATAATATAAAACAATAAATTCTAACAGAAAACCACAAATACACAACTGCACTACACTACTCAACTAAACTACGAATGTGATAAATGCTGTTAGATAAAACTTTATTATAAATACAACAAGTTGCTAAAATTGGTACTTATTTATTTTATTGTATAAATAAACTCAAGCCGATAAGATATAAAAACTATAAAAACAACAAAATCATACAAAGTTTAATGCAGTCATAGATACCTAGATTGAATGTTGCTAACCAATCAAAAAAATAGGTTTTAAATTACTAGTAAAGTACTAATTTAGTACAGTGCAATTTCTTTTTGGTTTAATTTTGTGCCTTTAGTCTTATTCAGAACATTTTTGGTTGCTAAGCAACTTTTTTTGTTTTTTTTAGAGCAATCAGAAAGAGCTAAAGCCCTTTTTAGTTACTTCAATTCACTTTATTGTTATTTTATGCAAAAAATTAGAATGGTTAATGAAAATAAATTTTTTAGACAGACAAACAATTTCTGATATGAGCAAGTTGACTCATTCTATTTTAAGTTAGAATTTTTTGTATTTAACATGAAAAACTAAATAAAATAAGACTGTTATTAGTTGACATGTAAGTTTACATACATGCAGGGCTTTGGAGCCAAGTTCAAAAAATTGGCTACAGCTCCATTAAAACTTTAAGCTGTCTCCCAAGTGGTTCCAGAAAAAACAAATCAAAATAATAAAATATTTTATCAAATATCAGGTTTTTATGGTTATATCAAGATTGCTTGATATAAACTCAAGAAAATAGCAGAAAATAGCCTCTCTACACTTGGTTGTGAGAAATCCATAGAGATGACTACTCTGCACACCTCTGTATTCTTTTTGGATACTCCTCAATTCCCTCAAAAACTTATTTCACTTTTGAATGTTCCTTTTCTTCCAGTTGTGACAATTATCCATAAAATGTGTACTGCTTTTATTAAAAAAAATTCTTTATTTTTAATCTCTTTTTTTAAACTTGTCTAATTGTTAATCAGAACCTGAATGAAGACGTAGTACTGTAGATGATTCTCATTTACTGTTATATTTTTGACATCTCTTTTATAAGTTATTTTCTGCTATTGCTTTTAAGGCTTGTTTTGCTCATATCTGTTTATCTTCTAATAATATTCTACAACTAGCACCAATATAAACTGCGGCTAGAAATATATTATGAATTTCTTAGTTTCTTCACAACATAGCATACCTTTGCCAAAAGTTAGGTAGATGTTGATAGTGAAAAATGCAGCAAATCACCTCAATCCTAGTATGTTTGCACCCTTCTTGAAGAACTAAGGTCAGATTTTTTTCCCAAACTGCTGCACTTTCTTCTTGTTTGTATCCTTAATTAAAATTTAATTTATAAAAAAATAAATTTCATCTAAAAAACAACTTCATAATACTTAGGAACCTCTTAAACAAAAAATACTCATACTTTGATTTTCCAAATTAACGAAGGGAGGAGCTAGCTTGGAGCGGCTCTGGAGCCAGCTCCACCTAAAAATA